TAATTCTGGTAAGGGAGCACGACCTCAGCTTTCTTTGCTTTCTTATCAGGGTCTTGGGACACACATGGAGTAAATCCAGCCTGTCTCGGAAGAAGTCTGATTCTAAACAGAGTGACTCTGCAAGTCGATTATCCAGTACTGAGAGCACCAAAGGTAAGTACAGTTAATTGACTGCCTTGAGTCAAGGATTGAACTCTCGCACTTGTTAGGGTTTTTGTCAAGTGGACGGGAGCAGCTTGCTGAGCTTAACCAGTTAACGTCGGATTTTCTTACCTGAAAAAGCTGCAGGGAGCGGGTTTATTTTACCTGCAAATTCTTCAACCTCGCAATTGCGCTTTGAGCCAACCAAGCATGACGCGTCAATATATCAACCGCAGAAAATGAAAAAAGAGTTCTTCAAGGAGTGTACGCGTCCTCCGTGGAACAATTAAGGAAAATTGTGTGTATGTTAACATGTCATCCAACGTCAAGTGGTTAACAAGATACCGCAAGTCCACAACTTGCTCCGCATTGGTTCTAAGATTAGTCCTAAATGGGTGCATTACTACGGGAGAAACAATGAGTGGCATTATCATTCATTAGACCAAGATGTTTGGATCCTTTGAGACATTATTATTCATTGTAGAAAAAAGCAAAGAATTAGGTTTTAATGATAGGAATTGACCACGTAGTCTTGTCGTGACTTCTTCAGGGTTTGGAGGGACGATGACCAAGACATCGGCCGCTAGTTGTCTGAAGGATCTCCCTTACATCGGGTCTCAAGAGATGGAAGCCCTGCGATCGAGCACCGTGGACTATCAGCACAAGGTCCGGGAATCTAAATTGAGGGTACAGGAGGCCCAGCAGAAGATGAGAGATCTGGCACTGAACATCAGGTGGGCTTGCCGTTACTCAGATGAGTAAACTCACAGTGACTCATTAATTGAGTAATGCTTCATTCCATCAAGAGAGTAGGACATTATGTACAGGACTACTTAATGTATTATACTTCAAAATCTCTGCACTGTGTGCTACCTGTTGATCTGGCGTGACTAGGAAAAAAAAGAGCCTCGTGCATTAGCTCAGATACCTCATGTTTTTAAATTCTGTCCTATAAGATTTGACTTGGGAGTCAGCTTGCACCGCGTATGATTTCTTCGCACGAAAACAAATTTTGAAAACAATTGAACCAGTGACTAACAACCAGAACAGTTATAAGTTTCAGTAAACAGTTCCCTAGGCTGTCTGTGTCTGTGAAGTAACGTCCACGGCTACAAAGTTTACGTGAGGCAGTTTTGTTGCATTTTAGTAAATGCGAGGTAGTTCTCTTACAGTGCTTTGCATGTGAGCTAAACTGTCATGTTCGCGGAACAGATGTGACACACTATTTGGAACCAATCAAAGTGCAGCAGTGCACTACTTGAAACAGCTTGCCACTAATGCGTTCTGAAAGTTCGGACTGTTGATGTGATTTTTCCCTTCAGGTTGAAGGAGGAATTGATCCGGGAATTGGTGAAGACCGGCAGGGAAGCAGAGACGGCCAATAAGAAGTACACAGAACGAATCAAGCAACTGGAATTGGTACGCATGCCTAAATATGGCTAGCGTGTCATTTTGTTTGGCAAACAGTCAGCTCACAAGTTCGAAAAATTTGGGAAAGGTAGATATGGGGCAAGCTGAAATGACAAGATGAAATGAGCTGGCGAGTGGAGCAGACACCTTGACAGTACACTTGTGCGTATGTTCTTTTTTTGGGCAAGCCACGGTACCCCATTGGCCGAAGAGGTCTTTAGCGCATTCTTACTTCCTGTGTGTGAGTGTGGTACCCCCGTAGTATTACCTTCTAAGTCTTGTCGTCAGCTGGTTCTGTTGACAAAGCTATTCTGCTTGGGAATGTGCTGTTTTCTATCAACAGGAAGCGCAGAATGCTAAGACAGAGCTCCACGATGCCCAAGAAGCGCTGCATCGTCTGGAAGCCAAGGAACATCAAGACACACAAGACAAAGACAAACTCGGCGAGGAGTACCGACGGAAGATGGACAAGGCCAGGAACCGCATGAAAGAACTTCAACGCAAGCAACACGTCAGTAAACCCTCCTCAACTTACAACGCTTTCAGGAAATTTTTTCCCACTTAGGTTATTAAAGAAGCCTCCATCACTGATTTCAGGATTTTATCATCAGGATTTTCCCGATTTCCGTATTTTTAAGAAATATTTTTTAACATCTGGAAAAGCTCGAGTTTAGTGTGAAGGTGTTTTTATACGTAGAAGACGACTCAAAACACAAGGAACTGGTGTTTCAAGGGATACCTTCAGAAAAAAGACAAACATACCATAAACCTTACACTTTTGTGGGGCCCTTAAAACCTCTGGTTACTGTTTCATGGATATTTCACCCCCGATTTTGACATTTTCTAGCTGTCCACCTGAATGGACATTTCCCCTGCAATTGTTTTTCAACCTTTACCTCTGCTAAGAAGTGATCTTCTTGCGATCGCAGGACACGGAGAAGCTGTTGAAAGTTCAGAATCAGAGTGACAAGAAAGTGACGGAATTGGAGCTTGCCGTGGGCCGAATGAAACAACATCAAGAGCTGCTGCAGCACCGTCTCAAAGAAGAAGCCGACAGGAAACTCAAACTGGAGGTGAGTGGAATGAAACTAGGGGTGTACATTTACGGGTATTTTTGGAACCGGATACCTGTTCGACGTCAGCACTGGGTACCCGGGTACCCTTAGAATATAAAGAAGACTTTGACAAATGGCCTTGCGGGTTAGGGATAATGACTTTTAATTCGTCATAAATGTAGAAAGAAATGCAGAAGGACCAACAGAGGATCAGGGAGCTGGAGATTCGAATGGAGCAACAGCAGAAGATACTCAAAAGGAAAACGGAGGAGGTGAGTTACTCATTACTCACATGCCTCAGGATCTCTTCACTTGATGTTCAAGTCACCCATAGTACCTCATATTTACCCCTTGAGACCACCACAAGACCCCCACAAGACAATCTACAGACCAGCGTAAGACCTCCAGTCTGAAATCAAGTCACAAGCTATTTACGATGAACTGTGACAAAAGCATTCCTTTGATACTTTTCACTTATTTACTTGTGGCTGGTCTGGTTTCGCGTGTTCTGTCTGGTCTTGTGTATGGGCCTTGTGATTGATTTTGTGTTTGGTCTTGTGACTGGTCTTGTGACTGATCTTGTGACAGGTTTTGTGATTGGTCTTGTTTCTGGTCTTGTGACTGGTCTTTTGTCTGGTCTTGTGTCTGGCCTTGTGACTGGTCTTGTGTTTGGTCTTGTGACTGGTCTTGTGACTGATCTTGTGACAGGTTTTGTGATTGGTCTTGTTTCTTGTCTTGTGACTGGTCGTGTGACTGGCCTTGTGATTGATCTTGTGACAGGTCTTGTGTCTTGTGTCTGGTCTTGCATGTGACTGGTCTTGTGATTGGGTTTTTGTCTGGTCTTGTGTCTGGCCTTGTGACTGGTCTTGTGTCTGGTCTTGCATGTGACTGGTCTTGTGACTGGTCTTGTGTCTGGTCTTGTGGCTGCTTTTATGAATGGCTTCGTGACTGGTTTACCTTGCACCCATACTTGTGATGGTCTCAACTTTCATCCCTTTTACCCTGTTAGTCCCGGGTTCAACCTTGAACTCTCTGCCTTATCTTGTGCCGTTTGTTTTTTGCTCCAGGTTGTACTTGCCCAACGCAAGCTTCGTCAGGGTAGCGCCCACAGCGATGAGCACGCCAAGCTTGACGAGCAGAAGAAATGGATGGACCAAGAAGTGGAGAAAGTACTGGAACGTAAACGCAGAGTCAAGGAGTTTGAAGAAGTGAGAAACTTTTTCTTTCAGGCAAAGAAAAGGTTAAAGCAGAAATGTCACACCTTGAGCTTGAGGGGTTAAGAGATAATTATTTACATAAATTGGTTTTCGTTGATATTGTGTTGTGTTGTAATGTATTGTGTTGTGTTGTAATGTATTGTGTTGTGTTGTAATGTATTGTGTTGTTTTATGTTGCGTTGCATTACATAGCTATTTTGTGTTGTGTTCTTTTGTGCTGTAATATATTGCATTGTGTTGTGTTGTGTTATGGTGTTTTTTTGTTGTACTGAAAATTAAATTTTGTGCAAACTTGAACAATCTGTGGCACAAATGTTTTAGTTGAAGTAATATTTTTAAAGATCATCACAATATGGCACCATAAAAACCAGTTCATTTCATTGATTCATTTCATTTCATTGATTCATTTCATTTCATTGATTCAGTTCATTTCATTGATTCAGTTCATTTCATTAATTCCATTCAATTTATTGATTCAGATCATTTCATTGATTCAGTTCATTT